GATTCAAGCAAGGCATCAAGTTTAAATGGGGTTCAAAGATCATCGAGTTTAAATGCTGTCCATGATTCAAGCAAGGCATTTGATTTTCAAAATCACAGCAAATCAGAATTAATTGACTCCAGCAAGAATCCAACAACTAATCTCCAAGATAATAGGAAGATGCAATCAACCATTAAGGCTTCAAATCAGTGATTTTAACCAATGGCTATTTCTGCAATTATTGTAATTAAGATTCAAATTTCATCCTATATAAATGGAAAACTACAACCATTCTTGACATCTTGCAGAAGGGTTTTTCCTCACAAATCTATTTGTTCATTTTATCTTACTGGTATCAGAGCCAGTGGGGAAGAACTCAAAAGCTTGAACTCTAATGGCGTCATCCACCAAATATCCTTATCCTTCAACTTTGAATGTGGGAAACTTTATTTCCTTACGTTTGAAACAAAATAATTATCTCTTGTGGCGTACCCAAATGCTTGGCTTAGTTGAGAGTCAAGACATGTATGGCTTTCTTAATGGAGAGACTCCTATGCCAAAGCCTTGTGTCACTAGCACTGATGATGGTGTGACCAAAGATCAGCCAAATCCTGACTTTGCAGCATGGAAACGGTCTGACCGTCTCCTTCGAGGATGGATAAATGGGACTTTGAGTGAGGAGGTCGTTGGACTTGCAGTCGGTCTTGAAACGTCTGCAGAAATATGGAATGCATTAGAGGAAGCGTTTGCACACTCTTCACAAGAGCAAGAGTTTCAATTGAATCAATCAATGACGACAATGCGCAAAGGTAATGATTCAATCCACGAATATATTCGTAAGTTTAAAACTACTTGTGATGAACTTGCAGCTATTGGGAAACTTGTGCCGAATAAGAACAAAGTCTTCTGCCTACTTCAAGGCTTAGGCAAGGAATATGAAAATTTTGTGACAACAATGCTCAAACCTCCATTACCTTCATATCATGAACTTGTGCCACTTCTTAAGAGTCATGAGGCCCGGACTCAACTTCATGATTCTAGTGCTCAAGAAGTCCCTCAAATGGCTTTCTACAGCAAGCAAACTAATGGGGGTCAGAATCGACGTCGAGGTAATGGATATAACCATTTCAATTCAAAAGGTCGTGGTTTTATTCCAGGTGCCACATCAAACTTCAGAAAGGAAGCCAACGAATCATTTCCTAGCACAGGAAATTGGCACAGTGCACCACCAAGTCCAAATAAGAACAATTCAAGTTCAAGGGTGGTGGGTGAAATCAAGAACGAAGTTGCTTGCCAAATTTGTGGAAAAAGGAATCATACTGCCTTGAAATGCTTCAACAGATTCAATCATGCGTATCAAGGTGATCACTCTCCTACTGCTTTGGCTGCTCTAACCATTACTGCAAATGATGATGATGATTCAGAATGGCATCCTGACAATGGAGCTTCTGGTCACATGACTGCAAATCCAGGTAAATTAACTAATATTAAACCATATCATGGAAGCGATTCTGTGATGATTGGAAATGGAAAAAAATTAATGATTACACATGTTGGAGATACAGAAATCAAAGGTGAAAATAATTCTATCCCATTAAAGAATGTTTTACTTGTTCCACAAATTACAAAAAAATCTCTTATCTATCAGTCAACTTACAAAAGACTTACCCTTTTCTGTTGAGTTTAATGATATTGGATTTGTGATTAGGGACCGAAGAACAAAAGAAATAATAGCAAGAGGAGGTCAAAGAAAAGGACTTTATGCACTAAATGGACATACAGCCCTCTTCTCTCATCGTTTTAGAAAGATAAATAAAGAAGGATGGCACCAGCGTTTAGGCCACCCTCAATATAAAATAATTGATTTTCTGTCCAAAAATCAGCTTATTACTATTAATAATAATGAAAGTATTAAGACTATTTGTGATAGTTGTTAGATGGGTAAATCTTGTTGACTTCCGTTTATTAATAGAGATGCTGATTGTGAACAACCTTTTTCTAAAATTCATTGTGACTTATGGGGTCCTGCCCCTGTCAAGTTAGCAAATCGTTTTCGATATTATGTGATTTTTGTAGACGATTGCACTCGATTTACTTGGCTTTATCCACTGAAGAAAAAGTTAGACTTCTATGATTGTTTTATCCATTTTTATGAGTTTGTTGCATGTCAATTTAATAGCAAAATAAAAATTTTTCAAAGTGATGAAGGTGGAGAATTTGGAAGTAATAATTTTTCCTCATTGTTAGGTAAGTTAGGCATTCATCATCAATCTGCATGTCCAAAGACACCAGAACAAAATGGAGTTGCTGAGCGAAAACACCGCAATATTATTGAGTTAGGACTCACTATGATGTTTCATGCTAATATTTCTTCTAAATATTGGGTTGAATGTTTTAGCACAGCTATGTTTCTAATCAATAGATTGCCATCTCCTACATTAAAAATGGACTCACCATATTTTCGTCTTTTTCAGAAGCATCCAGATTATAGCTCCTTACGTGTTCTTGGGTGCAAGTGCTTTCCATTTTTGGGGGATTACCAAAAGAATAAGTTGGAACCTAAATCACTTCCATGCATTTTTCTTGGATATAATACAAAGCACAAAGGTTATAAATGTCTATATCCCCCAACAAATAGAATCTTTGTCTCACGTCATGTTGTCTTTGATGAAATGCAGTTCCCTTTCAAAAATCCATGCGCACTATATGATACAAGTAAAATTGGAGGAGAGCTGTCCACATACAATGAATGGATCGAGACTCAACTGGAGCAGGAGACAGTAAATCACTCAAACCTTCACATCTCTGATCCATCGTTAATTTCTTTGCCACAGGAAAGCTCTACCCCGATTGAACAACTGGAAATGAATTGCAGCTCGCAAGATGAGAACAGGCTTAATGAATCACCAACCACAGAGACCATGGAATCAACAATAAGCCACCGACCGAGTTGACTCAATCTCATAATGTGAAATCATGCACTGGACAATTGAATCCATCTCAAGATGGCCATCATGATGATGATTTACCTTCCATACACGTGGAAATGGAGACAAATCAAAATGGTGCTCAAAATTCAAGCCTCCCTTCAAATAATTCTGATGATCAATTCACGAGTTCCAACAGACCAGAAGTTGAATTGTCTCACACTCATAACATGGTTACTCGAGCTCAACGGGGAATCACTAAGCCGAACCCTTGATATGCCTACCTTCACAAAGAAATTCCAATAGAACCAAAAACCGTGATATCGGCATTGAAGAACGATGGGTGGAAAGCTACCATGCATGAAGAACTACATGCTTTAAAAATAAATGATACATGGGATCTTGTCCCACGGGAGGCTCACATGAATGTGGTAGGTTGTAAATGGGTTTTTAAAACCAAGTTAAAACCTAATTGGAACTTGGATCACCTGAAAGCTCGATTGGTTGCCAAGGGATTTCACCAAATTGAAGGGCTTGACTTCTTAGAAACCTTCTCTCCTGATGTCAAACTAGCAAGCATACGCACTATCATCACTACGGCATGCATGAAAGGTTGGACAATTCGACAACTTGATGTTAAGAATGCATTCCTCCATGGGTATCTTTCTGAACCAGTATATATGGAGCAACCTCCTGGCTTCATTGACTCTGTGAATCCTTCTCATGTGTGCCGCCTGAAGAAAGCTTTATACGGACTTAAGCAAGCTCCAAGAGCCTGGTTTGATCGTTTAAGCAATTTTTTATTAAATTTTGGTTTCTTTTGTAGCATCGCTGACCTTTCACTTTTTATTTGCCACTCATCACAATCTTACTTTTAATTTATGTTGCTGATATGCTTTTAACTAGAGATAATTCTAATCTTGTGCAGTGGTTTCTTAAAGAACTTGGTCGTGAATTTTCTATCAAGGACCTTGGATCTATCCATTATTTTCTTGAAATAGAAGCCCACATGACCAAAAATGGGTTATTTCTTTTCCAAGCAAAATATGCAAAAGATCTCCTCCACCGAGCCCAAATGGATGGGTGTAAGCCTATATCAACACCAATGGCAACCAAGGATCGAGCCGTAACCGATGATAAGTTGTTCCATGATCCCACTTTCTATAGAAGTATCGTAGGTGGCTTACAGTACTTAACTTTGACTCGTCCTGATATCTCATATGCTGTTAACTTTGCATGTCAATTTATGCATGAACCAACCATGGGGCATTTTTGAATAGTTAAACGCATTTTACGTTACATAAATGGTACTATTGATTTGGGATTAAATATTACTTCACAAGCTACTTTCACTCTTTATGCCTTCTTTGATGCTGATTGGGCAGGTTGTCCTATTACTCGTCGCTCTACAACAGGATATTGCACCTTCCTTGGAGGAAATTGCATTTCTTGGTGTGCAAAGAAGCAACCAACTGTTTCTCTTTCAAGTGCAGAAGCTGAATATAAATCGATGGCATCTACAACAGCTAAGATAACTTGGCTTACTTATCTACTCCGAGATATTGGTATTTACATCCCCAATCCACCAATCCTCCACTGTGATAATATAAGTGCCTTGCACATGACTGTCAATCCTGTGTTTCATGGGCGCACAAAGCATGTCGAGATGGACTACCATTTTGTTCGGGAAAAAGTAGCCTTTGGAAATCTTGTAACTCGGTATGTGTCGTCATCGTCTCAACTGGCAGATATCTTCACCAAGCCTTTACCAAGAACCTCGTTCAATGAGTTACGAACCAAACTTGGCCTATCCCTTCTACCTCGGCCAAGTTTGAGGGGGAGTGTAAACGCATTTGATAAATATCAAAGATCATCAGGTTTAAATGCTGTATGTGATTCAAGGCAACATGATTCAAGCAAGGCATCAAGTTTAAATGGGGTTCAAAGATCATCGAGTTTAAATGCTGTCCATGATTCAAGCAAGGCA